CAGGCGTGCATCCAAACAGCCGTGTCCCAACCCTGGATTCAGCTACTGAATGCTACTCATGCAGTCAACGATTCCTTGAATTACCGGCATTTGCTCTCACACAGCACAGTCCTTGCGGATCAGCTCCCGCACCCAGACGACGGACGTTGAGCTCATGCCTGCAGAGCCTCGCAGAACGCTAACAGACGCAACGCAGCCGAGAATTGCAGATCAAACAAGAGAAAAGGACTCCGAAGAAGCACATATCATGACATGTGCACGAAGGACATGTGAATGTGCATCGCATCAAGTAGCGGACTTTGCTACCACCATGTATGATATCTGGGTCAGGACAATGCTTTTAGAGAACGAAACATGGGCACGCAGTCGCTCTGCAGCCTCCCTCAGGAAACCATGCGAAACTTTGCCCCAAACAAACCCTGTGCATGTATTCAAAATTTGTTGCGCAAGGATGTGCGCAAGGAAGATACTGAAATGGGGCCTTCATGGGGCCTTCAGGGGGCTGTCAGAAAATTGTTTTGCATCGCGCTCCCATGAACACGGACTCACCCCCACGGAGCATTCCACCGGCCTCGTTCCCACGCACTCACCAGTGTTCCCATGCTGACGTACAGTACGCCGAACCTGCCATTGTCAAATGCGCGGCTGAGCGCAGTGTACCTGCGGACAATCCTTGAAGGTTCCAGATTGGGACGCGATTTGTCGACGATGATGAGGTAGATGATGTCAGGGCCCTTGATCTCATAACTGTCAGTACACGTCGCTCCTGCATCAATCATCTCAGCAATTCGCCCAAGTTGGTAAACTTTGGCGCTGAAGGGTTTTGAGTTGATGCAGAACTCGGCAATGCACTTGCCCTCCTTCTTGAGGGGCTCCACGACCCATTCGCCCATCGTCATGCTCGGCGATAGGCTGCCAACACCATCCAGCTGGGCGAGCACGAACTTGTCCGGGCCGATGTTGTAGTCGCACTCCACCATGGCGAGGTCTCGGCGGAGCCGGCGATGAGCTTTTTGCAGTCTTTGTGTAACCTGATCATCAAGGCCATGTTGTAGTATAATCTTCGTTGAAGCTAAGCTGAAGAGGCGTTGGATAGTGCGTTCAAACTCTCTGCCAGTCTCCTCGTTTTCTGTGCCGCTGCTGAAGGGTTGACCATTTGCCAGTGTCAACTCGCCTGAGCCGCCCCACGCTTCCCAAATGCCCTCCTCGTCGTCGTCAGAATCGAACTTCTGTTCTCGAAACTGTCGAAGTCGATTTCGCTTGTCCCCTCGCCTTTGATACTGAAAGTCCAGCAGCTCCCTGTTCCGATGACGACACGCAGATGTTCCGTGGCTTAGGCCCATGTTTGCTTCCAGAGCTAAACACCCCAAACCATGTCGGGGACTAAGACTAAACCAGCACGCTCCCCTACAATCACTGAGAGGCCCCGACGCGAACAACATTTGAACTGCTAGGATCCCCCCAACACATTCCAATGAAGCAATGTTCGCCGTCAGTTGAACTTATCTTGCCGTCTGCTTGCCACGCTGTTAAAGTGTTGCTTGCTAGCCTTCGAACCATGGCGTGGCTCCACGGTCACATCCAGCAAGTCAAACAAATAATCTTGCACAATTCC